AAAAAAATTCATTGAAACCTTGCTACCATCATCTCAAAATATGAAGTTCATTTTGTCCAGTTATTTTTTATCTTCAGGGTGCTTATGTTGGTAAGTTGTTGTTTTTCATTTTGACCTTTACATTAATTGTAGTTAGTGCAGTATTTATGTGTTAATGGGAATATAAGGCACACATTTTTATAGTCAAAAGATATTTACAAACAGAAGATACAACACTGTTGATGTCCAAAGACATAATTAGTATTTAGAATAGTTAATTCTTAAAGCAACCACAGCACTGATAACCCCAAGTTGCAGTAATAAAGAGAGCTCTATTTTCCACGCACCTTGTGTAGTTTCGCGCGAATATCCGAAACAAATAAATTATATTTTACTTTAGTTTTCCAAACCTTGATCTTATGTCTACCAAGAAGAAAGTCATTATTTATGCTAGTTGATTATATATAAATGCAATGGAAATTTTGTAAGTAATTTTAAGAAGGCTTGAATCTGATAAAGGTTAAATTTATTATCGCCAGAACTTGAATAGAAAATTGATCCTATCCTTTGAAAATACTCGTTTTTTGTCATTTTAATCGTGTCCTCCAGCTGATTGCCTTAATCTTTATATAATATATAACTCAATTTGCTGATTTTGTTTTCTGGTATGTAATTGAGTAATATATATTCTCAATTCAAAGTCAAGATCAAATCTTTTTATTGATTATTTAGTACTTTACATCGTACATATCAACACTTATGTATTTTTGTCATTCTGTGATACAACAGAAGAATCTTAATCTCCTAATTCAAAGTAATTATATTTTTATTTTATGATATACTAGTGCTCACCAACGTGTTAAACATTTACTTTTGTATACATTGTATATATATATTGACATTATGATCACAAATCGGGTACTAAACTGATTTTGTTTCATGTTGTTGACACTTAAATTTCATCCCTTGTCATTAATGTATTTGTATTTGGTTTAGCTGTTTTATTTAGACGTTAATTATAAATGGAGCTGTATTAATTTCATTCGACAGTAAAAAAACAATTTATTTCTTTGCAAGTGTGTATGGTTGCTGTTCCACTACCATAAGAATTCATTTAAATTTAATTTTTCCATTCGTTTCAATTCATATCTTAGTTCAAGCAGAAATACAAGTTTCGTGGTTCATTAAACCGGACCAGACCTTTGATGCAAAGAAGGTATCTTGTTGCACTCTCGTTAAAAAAGGTCTTGTCAGCATTTTTCACAGAATTCGATCGTTTGGTTCATGATTATATTTCAAGTTGAATTCCATTAAATTGTCATCTGTAAAAAGTGAATTTGTAATAAGTTGGAAAACGTAATATGATTTATTTTACTAATTACAAAACAACTAATGTTAATAGCTCTCGCAAAGCTTGGTAAAACAGTTGCTGTGCTAGAAACAAGAAGAGCATAATGTGATGATGTGATTACCAAAATACTCAAATGTAAAAACGTTCACTAAGATTGGCTAAAGAATCATGTTGAGAACCAATATAGATTCAGTCCTGATTATGCGAAGGGAAACGAAGGTTACAGATTGGTCCCGGAGACGCTCTTTCAAATCATTGTAACTTTGGTCGGCTACTTTAAGGAAACTGTATAATAATAGACATGCATTATTTAAATTTTGTTGAAATGAGTTTACAAACATATATTTTTGCTTTAACGTTTACGAGCCAGTAACTTAAGCGTAGAAATGAATAAGTTTAAAAGTGTGGAAGGTACAGTTAAACATACCAATTTATGCTTCAGACAAGCATTACATAGTAACAACAAAAAATCTTGCCACTGCTTCGACATGCAGTACTTAGTTGGATATCAAAGTTTTTTGTTTGGAATGTTAGCACCAAAATGCATAAGGGCAAGCGGCGCAGCCTAACCATTCTTCATTTGAATTGATAGACTAAAATGCACGCAGTTAGTCAACAATATCCGTTGCCAGTCACTGGGATTCTCTTGTCTGATAGAATATTGGGATTTGACTTCCACTCTTATTGAGCACTCACGGAGCACTTTTTTGTCACCACAAGCCACGCTCGGCTCGCATGTTAAAGAATAACCGTATTGCATTAATTGTTTCGGTTTTTATTGGCTTCCAATGAACAAAATAAGACTTATAATTTATGTTTTTACCTAGCATTATCTCTTGTAATATATATAAATAGGAAAAAAGTTAAAATTTTAACGGAAAGTAGGGATCGTTGGTTATTCTTAGAATTGCTACAAGAAGTATCCAAAACAAAATATATGCTGCAATAAAATAAACACAAACAAGTAAAGTGATACTAGTTGGATAGATCTTAAAACGATTTTTAATCCCTACCTCCCAAAGTAGGGATTTAAAATCGTTTTAAAATCTATTTGACAGGGATTTATCCTCCAGAAAAACAACGATCACAATCATACATCATATATTGTGAAACAACATCGTGACGGTAAAGACGTTGACTGATCACCCACAAACATAGTTATGCCTGCACAAAGCCCTAATATGCATATTATTGAATGTGTATGATATTTTGTAAAAACTGATAACTGAGAAGGTCAAAAGGTGATTATACAACTTGGCTGAATTATCGTGAGTAAAACAAGAAACGTGGACCAATATTCTACAGTCATTTTAAGTACGATAATACTTAATAGTAGGGATCGACAAGGATTTCAAGTAATCCACGCGCCGAAAAAAACACCTTATTGAATTCCTAAGCGAAAAACTTCCCATTCAAAGTATTGGTTAAGATATATTATGCGCATATATACTAATAATACTCCATAAAGGTCGCTAACATTTCCGGAATAACAATTCAAAAATTTCGGAAACAGCAACGTTTTCGTCTATTACCTACCTACTTGATAACGTCAGCGAGGCTAGCGCCTAGACAACTCGGACTATCGCTACAGAATTTCGCCAGCTTTCTTGACTGGTCTGTGGGTATCCGCTTTTGATATTCCGATAAAAATCCGTACACACACACACACACACATATACAGGTAAAATATAAATGGTAAACAAACAAGAGTATTAAAAAATTTGAATTTTAAAATGAATTGGGATTCCTGTTATAAAAGGTAATGAAATAAGAATTAAAACTACAATCACAAATTTCTAAAATGTAATCCATACTTTGGCAGTTTTATACACTTATCTGTAGGCCAAAGCAAGGACATAATGTACCATTGAATACTTACGACTGAAACACAAACAAGTTCTAGATACAAAAATAGATAATTTGGGTCATACTTTTTAGATGTATGAAAATAGTAAAAATATTAAAGGCGTATGGTAAATGAGGTTTTTAAATATCGTTTCTTCCCTTTATTAAATTCAGTGTGGATTATATTGCGTATATAGTGCTTAATAAATGTATAATTTTACTGCAGAACAATGTAGTGGTTGTACAAATAGAATATAATGAGACAGTGAGCGAACATTTGAAAAAATTGCACTTTATAAAATTGGACACCGTCGGTCATTTGCCTGGTGGACCAATCCGCCATTAATCGCAAATACCTTTCGAAAGCGCTCGGGTTATATGGTTTTTATTCATTTCTAATCGCAAATACCAGATTATGTCCGATCACAATTTTAGTATTCGTGAAGAATGATAACTGCATTATAATAATGCGTTTAGCTAGTTGTTTTTGGAACCAATGAAAATATTCAGTGGTTATAATCATGTTTTGTATTCGTTGTTTTTTTAAGACTGATGTTTTGCCAGCGAGAATAAGTACAATCTGGTAATACTTTAAATTCTGCTAGCGGGTCGGTGTTATCAATTTGTTTTAAAATACATCAGTTGTATTTTCTTTATATATTAAAAAAACTGGTTCTATGTTATTTTTTCCTTCAGTTTTAGTTTTAAACGTTATGAAGGGTTAAGCTAAGTTTTGTATAAAAAATATTCTTTAAAAATCATTTACTGATCAAGAAATTTATGTAAATTTGAACGTTCTCGAATCTTGCGATATGTTGTATATTACAGTTGATTGGGATAAACTATTGTCCCCCGGCCCGACATGGCCAGGTGGTTAGGGCGCTCCACTCGCAATATGAGGGTCGGGTGTTCGAATCCCCGTCACACCAAACATGCTCGCCCTTTCAGCCGTGGGGACGTTATAATGTGACGGTCAATCCCACTATTCGTTGGTAAAAGAGTAGCCCAAGAGTTGGCGGTGGGTGGTGATGACCAGCTGTCTTACCTCTAGTCTTACACTGCTAAATTAGGGAAGGCTAGCGCGGATAGCCCTCGTGTAGTTTTGCGCGAAATTCAAAAACAAACAAACAAACTATTGTCCCCCAATGAAAGTGGTATATGCACATGTTCCTGAACTTCTGAATTATGTGAAATAAATTTATAAGTTTGGAACGTGTCCGTAAAGTACATACATTCTATATTTACATTCATAATACATGCGTACATATACTCGGAAGATCTCTCCTATTTGTATGTGCATTTTCCAGTTTCGTAGTTATGTTTCCTAAGACTTGTATGAAAATGTTTTTGCCTTTCACATCACTGACTGTAAATGATATGCATTTACGTGCATGAGTTAAGGAATAAAACAGTCATTACAAATTAATCCTGATAATGTATAAAATATTAAAGAGAAAGAGTTGTTGAAATAATTAGTCAATAATATTAAAAGATATAAAACCCAATGAGATATTTCCATAACAGTTATTTCATTCGTGAATTAGCAAGTATAGCTTTTATTCACAATAACGTATTTCATGTTCAATCTACATTCATTGGTAATATATATTACAATAAAAGATCTATGATACCATAACGCATTTCGAAAATAAGGTGGCAATTATGAGAATCTATAGAACTGCGAAATCAGAGCATGAAAATATCATAGTCCATATCTTTATTCCTTACACTCTTGGGCTTGCAGAGAAATTGTGTATTGAAATCTAGAGTAAAATGTTTCGTGCTATATACATTGTCATGACTGAATGTCTTTGTACCTTGGCAGGAATTTCGCCGTGTACCTTGTCCTTCAATGTTAAATTCTACGCGTCTGATCCTTGTAAGCTGACTGAAGAAATTACACGGTAAGCAACTTTAAATTACATTTTGCTGTACTATTTTAGAGTGAAATTGAAATATTTTGAGGTACTATACTCTTAAAATGGGTAAGCAACTTTAAATTACATTTTGCTGTACTATTTTAGAGTGAAATTGAAATATTTTGAGGTACTACACTCTTAAAATGGGTAAGCAACTTTAAATTACATTTTGCTGTACTATTTTAGAGTGAAATTGAAATATTTTGAGGTACTATACTCATAAAATGGGCCTGGCATCGCCTGGTGGTTAGAGCGCTCGACTCGCAATTTGAGGGTCGCGAGTTCGAATCCCCGTCACCGTACATGCTCGTTCTATATGATTGCTGACTGGGCCAGCCACTCAAGTGTTAAAATTCTTGGCTTACAAAAATATCAGACGACCCCAAACTAGATGGGAATAAAGTCGAGTGGGGAAAAAACCTTAAATTATTTTAAATTCTCCTATCACGTAATTAGAATCGCTTACAAATTCTCATACCTAATCATTCACGAGGGTTTAGTCTTGTTTATAAAATACAGACATTCACAGAAGGAGATCTTTAAGTAGTTTTATTGTTCTAATAGTTACCGTTAGAAAGAGGGAAACTAGGGCAAAATGTTTTGGCTTGCCCGATGTAATGTTTTGGGTGTAATAAAGAAAATACATTTAGTAAGGAGTTTCAAAGGCTAGTCGTCTGAAAAATATGTGAAATAACCACACTTCTAGGAAATAGTGTTGGAGAACGATGTTTTAGCCATTTCTGAAGGGTTACACTCCTTTACTTTAGAAAATCATATATTCGTTACTAAGTTTATTTAAAAAATGCTGAAAAATATTTATATTTTTATTTCTTTAGCATTTTAACAATCAATAGTATTTTGTTTTAAACATTTTGTTACCTAGTAGAATTAACTCTGCATAAAATTATTATTTTGTACCTGTATTTATTTTCATAGGCTATAAATTACCAACTATTCTGTATGCATACTGCCCCCAACGAAACAAGATCACCTCCAATCATAATCATATTTTCTTCCAATAAAAAGATATCTGAGCGCCATGTCCGCGGTGGGCAGAACAAAGACAGCCAACTGTATAATATTGTGCTTAGCAAACGAACAAAACTTTTCAGTACACCATAAGACTGTGATGCTTTATTAAATCTTTGCTAGATGTGTTAATTCATGTAAGATATAGTACTGTATTTCCTATTGCATTTTCAGTCAGCGTCAATACAGGTGTCAGTGATATGAGTTGTATTGTTTTATTGGAAGACACTATATGTATATATTTATATATAACACTAGCTTAACCTTCACAACGAACTATTTAATTTTCAGTTTTACTAAGTAATTTCATTGATCAAAACATCGAAGTTCCCAAGATTCACATAAAGTGATAGAATTAGTCAGTATTAGGCACAAAAGTTCAAAGTATTTTAAATTTTTAACTAATAACAGCCCCTCCTGGTGGCGCAGTGGAAAGTCTAAATGCTTAACGTTCAAAACCGGATGGGCAGAACGCAGATAGCACATTGTGTACCATTGTGCTTAACAACGAAACAATTAAACAAAAACTAACAACATTGCAAACCTCATTCACATCCGAAGCTCTAATATAGAAGAATCTCTGGTAGTTTAGGTCTCAGCAGATGACCTCAAACAAAATATATGTAATGGGATTTATATAATGTAACCAGTTATTCCCGTTTCTTTGAATTATGTTGTTCTTCCAGATTTATTTGTTACCCCTTATGTGCTTCAGAATTAATTACCCTCGTTATAGCTGTAGGTGCACAATTAGGTAAACTAGTTTCGCCTTCTCGAACGGAATGTGGTGTTTGTTCTATACTTCATTAAAAGACTTGGTTTCCAACTGAACATTGACTTTTGTTAGTCTTTGAAAATAAAATACTGTTTTAAATATTTCATGATTCTAATTCTACTGCTGAAATAGAATGATACGTTAATTTAAAACTGTAGTTCACTCTGCTGCCTTTTACTAAAGATACTTGCAAGGAGAAATTACCAATACTGTATGTAAGAGATTTTTCGTTTCCATGTTAAATGTTATTTTCGTGATTGTGACATTATTCCTGAAATTGAAGCGATGATAAATCAAAAGTTTAGATCATTCAGGCTGTCTCATGTACCTAATGATGATTTGTAGTTATTTAGTGTTAAAGTTCTTTAAGATATATTTTTTGTTTGTTTGTTTAATATCGAGCACAGCTACTCGAGGGCAATCTTTGGTAGCTGTCCTTAATATTGAAGTGATAGAGGGAAGGCAAGCTAGTCAACACCACCCACCGCCAACTTTTGGGCTACTCTTTACCAGCGAATAGTGGAATTGACATTATAACGCCCCTATGGCTGAAAGGGCGAGCATGTTCAGTGACGGGATTAAGTTATTAGATTGAGCTTAAGATTCGCTCCAAAACAAGTGTTTATTTTCCACATTGTCAGAAGATCGCTTACGGCAAAATTTATACTTTTTATTTTTAACTAGCAGGGACCCGCAAAACATTTCCGGCCAAATTAGTATCTTTATCGTAACAATACTTCTTTATATATAACATTTCTAGCACAATACCAAATGTGTAAATCCACTTGTATATACGCCGTACTTTATAAAACTGTAACTTGTGAACTTTTTGTTTTTTTTTTACTTTAGTTTATTTATGACTAAACTTTACTTAATACTATCGATAAATAAATTATAATGTTATTCTACAACCTAACGTCAAACCTTTTTTAAAAACTTTAAGTGTTTAATATTCTGTTGTACAAAATAATTAGTAAAGTATATTTTACATCCCCTTTTTGTTGTTACTTCTTATTTCATACAGCAATTGTAGCGATGTGATCACTGAGCTTTGCAGCTCTCTGCCGCAGGCACACTGTTTGTCGTCAAGTTTTTCTTGGGGACACATTCTAACTACGCATGCTTATGCAGCAGGTTCTCGGTCAGAAAGCGTAACGGTCGTACATACAAACAAGCAGAATAATAGTATAGATTAGCGCTTAACTATATATTATCAGCGTTACGTATTTTAAAAAAGTAAACCACGAGTTAATTAGTATTTATTACTACAGCACCTTCTGTAGTGTTTTGACATTACAGGGTAAATAATGGAAATGCAGTTGTGAACAATAGTCAACCGTTTGTTTGTTTGTTTTCTCAATTTTTAATGGGAATTTTTGGTTCACGTCCAAACGTGTAGCATCTTTAGACTTACTTTTTCGTTAATGAAGCTAATTTTCTTGCGTTAATCTCAGAGCTGGGTATTATACTCCACATTTAAAGGTACAGTATTGAATTTTAGAATTATTTTAATATTTTAGAAATATGCTTTTTTTCTTCTACTTTTACATATTAAACAGTCTTACTTTATTTGTATTTATTAGAAAAAAAATTATGCTTTATGTTTAGATCAGGCATGCAACTGAAAACCGGGTTTCGATACCCGTGGTGAGCAGAGCATAGACAGCCCTTTCTGTAGCTTTGTGCTTAACTACAAATAAACAGGCATGGAAATTAAGGTTAAATAAGGTAGACAGTGTCACCCGTCGCTTCATAAGTCTCACTTGTGCAGATATCTCAAATTCCAAGACACGTCTTTTAACTCCTCGGGTCCCCCGATAAGATTACGGACTTGCAATGCTTAAATCCCGGGTTCAGTCCCCTGCAGTGGACAGCAGGTAGCCCAATGTGGCTTTGCTCTAAAACAAACAGACAAATAATTCCTCATACTAAACAGAATTGTATATTGGTGTTAAGGTTAGTGTTTTCCTTGCTAACGCGTATATATATATATATATCGCAGTGCGTTATCGGTCCTGGTTGTCAACTTATTGTCATGACGGATAATGTCTGTGGTAATAGCACCCAAATGATAACTCATCTATCAGACAATATCCAAACGCCGATGTCTTTCTAGTCAGCCGTCATGGAAAATCAAAATCGTCAATCAAATAAGCAAGGGCTCCCGCAGAAAATAAAAATAAAGTTTGAAAAATTATGAAATCGAAATACAAATACCTTATAATTTTCCAATAACATAGAACAATAATTTTAATATCTAGTAGTGCTGATTTAATCGCTTATAAACAATTAATGTAATCGATAATTTGTAAGCTATATATATATATATTTTACATAAAATTTTCAAATATTAATATATATTTCCCCAAACTGGTCGCGGATGATGAATGTGTGTTTAAGCTCAGGAAACTGTGAGCTTGAACACCCCTTCAAAAATATTTTTGTTTGCCTAACTGCTGCTTTCATACAGGTTTTACACCTGCAGTTTGTTAAATAACTGGAGATACAGGGTATCGCTAGCACTGCTAGACTGCTTTTTCTTTTTGTTCTGTTATATTCTTTAAATATTTGTTTGGCAATTCTCACATCTGACACAATTTTTACATATTTCGTTTAATACACAAATGTGTTTAAAATGTTCTTCTCATTGTTCTCTAATGTTATCGCCTAGTTCTGTTTAAGTGCTTGATACATGCTTAAAAATAGTAATACTACCCATTGTGCAACTTCAGAATAATAAAATAAAAATCTTTATACCATTGCTGTTTACCTTATACTGACCCTCCTAATGATGTGATGGAGGGGATAAACATTAGGATTAAGTTTTCTTATGACAAGTTTAAAATTGTAGTTTTAAAAATTTAATTTGTTGTTTGCAAAGAATGGTCAGTCAGTATATGATAGTATTTTCTCCATTAAAGAAGTCAATCATTTCTCCTGGTTTCAAATGTAACTGAAATTTTTAAACATAGATAGAATGTAAACGCGTAAAGATGTAGTATTCCTCTGTTCTTGGAATTCACTGTCAAAGGACTACATTTAAGCCACGATACAATGATCAGCCGAATACGTAAGCTATCAAGACTGGGTCTTTTGTTAAAAAAATAAGGAAAAATGCATTGGTTCACAAATAACAATTCAGTTTCTATTTATAGCGACACCTAAAACGACAGCATGTATT